ACAGCAACCCTTCTTCTTTCAAAAACCACCATATCCACTGAAACGGGGGCCCAAAAAAGAAAAACAAAAGTTTCTCTTTTTAACTTTAGTAATGCATAAAAAAAGGGGTATTAGCCTTTTCCCCGGAATTTAGTACCCCTTTACGACACACATGGCTTATGGAGGAAGAATTATTTCCCCATTTTCCATGGCGATAAGGGAAAATAAAAAAAAAACAAGAACTATAAAAAAGAAGAAAAACCCGAGGGGTGGTATAATATTTTTATAATAAAAGTTAGTGGGACCTAATTTTAAAGTAAAGTGCAGCATCCTGAAATCCGCTTTCTTTATAGAAAAAAAAAATGACCCAGCATCCTACACCAGTAAAACAATTATACTCACTTGGCGGATGGTGGGTACCCCCTTGGGTGGATGTTTTCTATCAACCTATTATTAAATATCCCCACTTTACTCCCGTTTCACTTTACGATGTTCCGCTAATACAGACATTTCAAATTATGACCAAAACTCCCTATATGGCTCCCCCCATCTGACTTTCTAATACGGTCACCACGCCCCACCAGGTTTGTTTACATTCTCTATGAGCATCACTTTTCATTACATTGGGAAAAACTTTCCAAAATATCAAGTACTCCAGCCCACTAAAATCATAGTACTTCGTTTAACTCTATTTGTTCTATCGACTGACTACAAGAAACTGCCCATTTACCGATTTCAACTACCCAATTAAGTGGTCACAAATTGGCAATTTGGTCAATTTCACACAAATTTCAAAAGATGCCAATTTCAAAATAGGGTCCAGAATAAACAAGACAGACATTCCTGGCACTAAAATAACATTTTATCTGTTCATTAGTCATGTCTCCAGGCCCCTCTTACATTACTCTTCCTTTCTATTTTGAATTTTTATTTTCACAAAAAATAGATTTACTGTTATGCAAACTACTGCATTATTGTAAAAATGGTATAAATAATATTAGCGCACTTGTTGACATGTATTGGATGCATGGGTGATTTGTTTTACTTTGAACGTCATTTAAAATCGAACATTTCTGCTAATTTGAGTTCAATTTCAAGGTACTTTTCATCGTGATACCAATCAAAATCATCTCTATTTCTGTAATACAATTCTTACATTATATCAAATGAGACCAGGAAAACGAGAATAAACTATAAATATCATATGAAAGTACACTGCAAAGTCGTTTTTTTAAAATAAAAAACAAGGTCAGAGTTTTTTTTCTCATTATGCACTGCATGCTGCGGACCACACAGACCATTCTTTAAAATTTGAGGCCTACCAGGTTTCTTCACCAGATTTGAAGGTGCTACAATTTTGGCTCAAAAGTACATGACTGCCCCTTGCTGTTAAAACGTACATACTGGGTTCTATTGCAAGATTCAGATAATCGAGGGGGTGTTCTCTGCCCCCTTAATGTTAAAGCTTTTGGTGCAAAAGGTCATGGTCAACTGTATTAAAAGTTTTTTGAAAGGGTCTATGCCCAGTCCCAGGGGAATTTCATTTTTCTCAGTGTGCAGAGTATATCAGTTCAAGCATATGTATAATAGCATCATTAGTACTTTTTTGGTCTGAACCCAAACTGACAAGGGTTCAGTATGTTGTGGGAAATGAGGTAGCAGTAAACTTGTTAGTGTATTAATTTCTCGAAGATTTTAGATAGCAGGGGCAGGTTTGATATAGGCCTATAATTGTTCAATTCGGTTGGATCACCTCCTTTGAGGATCGGGGTGACTCTTTTTGTCTTGAGTATGGATGGAAAGGTGGAAGATTCAGTGGATTTATTAAAAAGAGTTGCAATAATTGATGACAACACATGAGAAGCTTCTTCATACATGAGTGGTGGTAAGTTATTTAGGTCCTCTGTCTTGTTTTTAAGTGTTTTGATGATAAGAGAGATTTCAGTAGGGTTTGTTGGGACTAAAAATAGAGTATTAGGGTAGTTGCCAGTGAGGCAGTCTTTTGGTTGAATGTTTGAGCTTGGGATTTTACTTGCAAGTTTTGTTCCTACGGTAGAGAAAAAGACATTAAGTTTGTTGGGAGTATTGGTTGGCTGTAGGAGAGGTTCATCTGGTTTAGTTAAGTTAATGAAAATGTTTTGTGACAGTTTTAATGTTCCTAGAATTTCAGATAAGGTTTCCCAGGTCTTTTTCGTATCACCTTTTATGCCATGAAATCTGTTTTCATAATACAGTTTTTTTGACCTCCTTATTAGATTGGTTAGTATTGACGAGTAACATTTTGTGAGATCCTTCATTATTAGACCCATTCTGTACTGTTTTCCATATAGACATTTTTTATCAATAGATTTGCAGATGCTGTTTGTAAGCCAGGAGCTGTTTAGTCTCTTTGCTGTGATCTTCTTAGATATTATTGAGCAATGCATGTTATAGAGGTTTTGGTTTTTTTTGTAAAAAAATTTTGACACATTCATCAGCATGGAAGTTGTCTGTTAGCTCGTTCTGCCAGTCAATGTCACTTAATGCTGAAATAAAGTTATTAACAGATGACACATCATGCAGTTGGAATGTGATCTTAGTTGTGTCCTGGGGCACTTTACACAAGTTGGTTATGAGAAAGATGGGATAGTGGTCAGGGGTGTTATCTGGGGATTATGCCAGCTTTTAATGGGGATAAAATTGTTTACCAGATATGGTTAGTAATGAGGCATTTGTGCCAGTGAGTCTTGTAGGTTTTGTTATTGTTGGCAGAAGTAAGCAGCTGTTCATAGTGTTTGTGCATTCAGTCACTTGTGGGTCATGGTCATGGATAAGATTTATTTAAGCAGAAGTTGCAAGATGTACCTGACATCTTGCATGTTTATGAGACAGAAAAATGACACCAGCAATCCTACCATCACGTAAAACAATTACAGGCTTCCGTTTTACACTCACTCGGCAAGACGGTAGTACCTCCCTGGCAGGTGCTATCTACCAACCTACTACATAGGGTTACATACATATCTATTATAAAGTTTAACCGATAAATTACACATATTAAGTAGAGAATTATCACTTTTTTTACTGATGGGAAGCACTTAACAGGGTTTCTTAGGCTTTGAAGAACTTCCAACATCACTACTTTTGAACTCTGTGGCCATTATAAAGCAAAATTAAGGGTTATTTTCAGGCCACAGTAAACTGCGAATAACTGAAACCAAGGATGCTGGACCTGTGGATACGGGAAGTTCTACTGTACAGTAGTAACCCTAATTATATAACACTTCATATCTCATGTCACTGGATTCCTATAAAGTTATGTGTCGCCATACAGTCTGACAGTGCAATACAAAAGTTAATATTCCATCTAACACTAGTGTAACACTTAAACATTTTACTTCATAATGCATAACCTGTTTGAAGCAATAAATTCGATCACCTGGCAGTCAATAACATTTGGTCTAAGGCCACATTACACGAGAACTCTCAAAACTGGTCAAAGGTATATTAATAAAGATCAAGCTTGACTAACAAAGTAGAGATATGATAAAAATGTTTAATTATACTTTACCAAGAAAAATATCAATCTTGAGCTGTTCAAAAGGCATAGCAAACTTGATGTGCTTAAGTGTGTCCCAGCGCACAGCAGCAGCAGCCATTGAGTCTGGGTCTTGAGGGATAACACACACACTCAGGCTGGCATCAAGGCTACCAATTAACCGCAGGATGGCCAACTGCACCCGTCGCATCGCTGTCTCGTCCACCTACACCACAAGATACAACAATAACTGTATCTAAGAAGAATAAAAAATCACAATGTTTCAGTCAATCCTGGACTATCATCAAGTTATAACTCTTGAGACTCAATAACTGTCCAAGACAGACCAAAATGTCCAGAACATTTAGAACCACTCCTAACTTAGCGACATCTTGTTTACCCACCATCGGACTTACGACCAGCTCTCCAACCAGAATGCAACCCAAGTAATGTACAGTAGGGCCCCACTTATACGCCGGGTTAGGTTCCAGGCTGTCACCGGAAAGCAAACATCGCCGGAAGGCAGAACACCATTTTTTTCCATTTACAAATGCATATAAATGCATTAGTAATAGAACCAGGCATTAAAAAAACACAAAGTAAAATACATTTACAGTAAATTCATTACTTATCTAAAAGTATTTGTAATCTTAATGTAGGGAGAGAGGTGAGTAGTACTTATTTGTAGGAAGTCAGGTGCAGGTAGCCCAGGTGTAGGTAGCCCTGGCTCCCCGTCTCATATTTAATACACGATATATAAAACATCCCAGAGAGGTAAATTACACACAGTACACTCATTATTGACCTTAAAATATGTGTAGTCTTAACATAGGAAGAGAGGTAAGTAGTATTTATTTGTAGGAAGTCAGTGTAGGTAGCCGGTAGGTGTAGCCCCCCTGGGCTACACCTACCGGCTACCTACACTGTGGCCCAGAGTCATATTTTTAACATGACATACCTTGTTCACTGAAAATTTAATCATTTTTAACAATTACCTTTAGATGCCATCATAAATGAAGGTAGAAGTAATGAATAATTCATGCCGAAAATTGCAAACAAAAGCGGAGTGAGGGAGTGGCTGGGCCAAACGCAGATTCATACACATTTTCTTCTGATGGCTGAGCAGAGAAAATGTAATGTTGTCCCTCCACCCGGCTACCACACGCTCCACAAGTATTTTTATCAGACACACACAAAAAAAATGCAATAAATCCCAGACAACAAGTTTACACTAACTTATATTAAGTTAGCAACAGAAATACGCATTAAAAACACAATAAAAGGTAAGATACACACAGAGTACACTATTACTTACCTTAAAATATTAATATTAATGTGTGAGAGGTGAGTGGCAGGGTGTTTATTGAATAAAATCAGAATGGCACACTATCATCCCTAACTTGGCCTTAAAGCAAGGGGCTTACGACTTCTCTTTTTATCAAAGTAACCTTAGACGCCATCATCAATGAGAGCCAACTAGTTAACAAAAGAGTAAACGAGAGAATGAGTTACAGAGTTGAGACAATGTAAGAAACACAACTGAACAGGCAGTGGACGATCACTTGGTCAGGCGAAATAAATGCGTATTAATTATGTGTTACTTTTAGTTCATTCACCTCCATTTGTAAGAGTTTGTAAAACATTTACCTCAATATTTTTTTATTATAATTATAATTACTTCACAATACAAATACTCTTACACTGTGTTTCAAGTTGTACAAGTTAGTACAGAATAAACAAACAGCAACACACCATTTTTAGAGTGAATGAAGATGATGATGATGATAATAAAAAATAATAATAATTAAATAATAATAATAATATTATTATTATTATAAAAAGCACTAAAAACCCACAAGGGTCGTGAAAAGCATATACCTGGAGTTTACCTGGGGAGAGTTCCGGGGGTCAACGCCCCCGCGGCCCGGTCTGAGACCAGGCCTCCTGGTGGATCAGAGCCTGACAACCAGGCTGTTGCGCTGGTGACGAAAACCAAACATACGACCCCCCCGGGCTGATCCGGAACTGACTTTAGGTGCTTGTCCAGTGCCCTTGAAGACTCCCAGGGGTCTTTTGGTAATCCCTTATGGTGCGGGAGGCAGTTGAACGTCTCGGGCCCCCTGACATTTATTGTATGGCTTTTAAACGTGCTAGTGACACCCCTGTTTTCATTGGGGGGATGGTGCACGTTCCCAAAGTCTTTTGCTTTCGTAGTGGGTATTTTGTGTGCATTTGGGGTACTAGTCCCTCTGGGATTTTCGGTGTATATAATATGTATTTTCCCCCCCTGCGTTCCGGGGTTCGGGTTTTTAGGAACCCAACCCGCTCCCAAAAATTTTGGGGGTGTTTTATCCCCTTTATGCGCGCCGTGAAATTTTTCTCTGTACTTTTTCTGGTTGGCAATTTCCCTCCCCTTGAAAGGGTGCTTTTAGTGTGCAGCAATATTCCAGCCTAGATAGAAAAAGTGACCTAAAGGTGTCATCGGGGGTTTGGCCCTCCCTAGTTTTGAAGGTTTTCTTTATCCATCCTGTCATTTTTTAGCAATGCGATTGATCAATGTTATGGCCCTTAAAGGTGAGTCCTCCGCTGTCACTCCCAGGTCTTTGAGTTGGGGTTTGCTCTATTTTGTGGCCAGAGTAAGGATCGAAAAGAATATTTTTCTCAGTTACCCCCCCCGTGTTTGACAGGAAAAAGTAATTCTTCGACACACCTCACAGCTGCTTTGTAAACAAGTCTCATTTTAATCAATTTTTATTTATGAGTGTGCATCTGTTTATCTCTATGTAAGGGGTTTATATATAATTTTGAGGAAAATATCATAGACGGATTAAGAAAATGTTTACAGTGGACCCCCCCCTTAGCTCACCTCCCAATGCGACCCAATATGTAAGTGAATTTTTTTTTAATTTCGTTTGTCGAGTATGTTTGGGGGTTGGAAATGGGCTAATCTACTTTCCCAAAATTCCTTAAGGGAAACAAATTTTGGTCAGTATTGGCACCCGAACATACTCCTGGAATGAAAAAATATCGTTAACCGGGGGTCCACTGTATTGATGTAAAATAAGACATTTAGTGTGCCCAAGTGATTACTATTACGTAGTATTGGCGTCAATGAGTAGAGAGAAACTTAGCGATTTTAATGTGTACCTGCACACCAGCACAGTGTGTAAGTATATTTAGGTACAGGTACACATAAGTATAATTATCAGAGTACATATAAAATATGCAGGAACTTTAAAACACTTGAAATTTTGGAAAGTTTCCTGAATAATAGATGAGGTCACGGAAAATGTAAACAAACCGGGTGGGGGGGGGGTCACCGCATTTAAAAGACCGCTTGTCGTATAGCAAATTTTGGTCATAATTTGACATCACGTATTAGCGAAATGCCGTAAGGCAAAACGCCGTAAAGCGGGGCTTACTGTATATTAGAGTTGATTTACTCTGTTCTGTTTATTACAGTACAGTACACTACTGTATAAACATTTAAAAATATACTAGAAATGTTATACAGGGGAACCACGAGTTTTCGCCGCCCTGAGTATTGGCCGTTTCAAGTTTCGGCTGCTTTTTTTGGGTAAATTTTGTCCCGAGTTTCGGCCATTGCCCCATGTTTAGGTTGGCGTACCAGACCAGTCCAACTGCTCGTGCCAGTGCACCTCCCGCACAGGTGTCGTTTAGACAGTCTAACTTTCTTTATCGTTGAATGAATATCACCTTGTGCACTCATCCGAGCATTTCACAATAAATTCCTTGTGTTTAGTACTTGTTTATTGATTGTGACTGTGAAAAGAAGAAACTTCATAATGGCAGCCCTTTGGTAAAGAAAGTGAGAAACACCATAGAAGTTTAAGAAGGAGACAGTACAAAAATATGAGTGGTGTACGTGTGGGTGAGCTTGCCAGGGTGTACGGCAAAAACAAATCAACAATCGCTTCTATCCCGGCGAAGAAAAAAGAACTCAAGGAAGCAGATGTTGCGAAAGGTGTTGACATGTTAACCAAAAATAGAACACAAACAGTCAAAGAGGTTGAGAAGTTGTTGGTGGTGTGGATCAACAATAAACAGATAGCAGGTGATAGTGTTTCAGAGTCGATCATTTGTGAAAAGGCAAGGCAGTTGCATGCCGATCTTGAAAAGAAAATGCCTGGAACGAGTGCTGATGCTAGTGAATTCAAGGCCAGCAGAGGCTGGTTTGACAGATTTAATAAGCATAGTGGCATACACAGTGTGGAGACGCATGGTGAGGCTGCCAGTTCTGACAAATTGGCAGCTGAAAAATATGTACCTAAATTCAAGGGGTACATAGAGGCTGAAGAATTCAAACCCCAACAAGTATTCAACTGTGGAGGACCTACATTACTCAGGAGGAAAAGGCAATGCCAGGACACAAGCCTATGAAAGACAGGCTAACTCTTTCGTTCTGTGCTAATGCTAGTGGGGATTTTAAAGTGAAGTCTTTACTGGTGTATCACTCAGAAAATCCCAGAGTCTCAAGAAAAACCATGTCATCAAAGTAAATTGGTGTGTTGAGGAAAGCTAATCATAAGGCCTGGGTCACGAGAAATTTTTAAAGAGAGGGTCCATGAAGTGTTTGGGGCCCCCGTGTAAAAAAAAAACCTCCTAGAAAATAATTTGCCACTCAAGTGCCTCCGGGGATGGAAAAGCTCTAGCTCATCCTCCAAACTTGGTAGACCTCTTCTCTAGGGACTTTAGTTTTATAACAGGAAGTTTTTGCCTCCTAACACCACTCCCCTCCCCCAGCCCCTAGACCAGCAGGTCATTTCTAACTTCAAAAAACTGTACACAAAAACAGTGTTCAAAGGTGCTTTGAAGTGACCTCGGACACTGAACTGACCTTAAGAGAATTCTGGAGAAATCACTTCAGTATCTACAACTGCATAAGCCTTATAGGTAAGATTGGGAGGGAGTTGACTTTCAGGACTCTGAACTCTGCTTGGAGACAATTGTGGCCACAATATGTCATCCCGAGGGATTTTGAAGAGTTTAAGGGGTGACCCCTGACCCCGCCAACCCTCTGCCTGTTGTGGAAGGTATTGTGGCACTGGGCAAGTCCTTGGGGTTGGAGGGGAGTGGCAAGGATGTGGAAGAGTTGTGGAAAACCACAGGGAAGAGCTAACCACTGACAAACTGCAAGAGCTTCAACTGGAACATCAGACCACAGCTGAGGAACTTGCTTCAGAGGAAGGAAGAGGGAGTGAAGGA